AAACGACAAATCTCTTGAGCGTGATAAGGGATATCTTAAAAAAAAATTAAATATTAATAATTTGCTATAGAAAATACATTAATAATATTATCATTATAAAACACATATAAAAAAAATTATTCGAATAAAACATCTTAATGTCATTTGAAGTCATTTTTCATTTTATTGATAATGATGGATTGTTAATTTTACTAAACATTTATATATAATATGTTAACAAACAATACACCTCTACCAGCCACTTTAATGAGTGATAATAAGCCATTAAAAGGAAAGAATACACTTTGTTTAAACTTTGCTCCCTCCATCCTAGAAAAGGGTCTTTTCTAAAGTTACAAGTTTTAAATTTTAGTAAGGTACAGCTATTGGAAATCGTCAAATATGGATTGTTTCTAGTTTTTTGTTTAACTCAACTTAACATGTGCAACTTGTTTGGAACACTTCCATTTTAATAACTTGACATTAAATTTGAAGAAAAATAGATTTTATTCAAATTGGTCTCTTGTTTTGGGACGTAACAAGTGAAGAACAAGGACTCCTTTTAAGGGATGGAAGTAGTAACTTATATGTGTAAGTTTCTAATTATGATCGAAACACTTTAGTGGCATGTCCCTATTCAGTCAATTAGCATCAGTCTGGAGTCTGGATTACATACAGCCATATATGAATCTGTGTTGCTTCATCCTTTCATTGTGTTAGCAGAGAGCAATACATCTTTTGACAAAGGGTCTGACAAGCATCCTCTGTTCAAGGATATTGGAAGTAAAGATCAATCAGCACAGTCTGGTGGCCTTGAACAAAACAGTTATGCAGATCCCAACAATCATGTGAATCCTTCTCTTATGCAAAATATTAAGGATTCTCAGATTTTAGTTTGCTGTGAGGATATTATATATTTGATCTCCTTAAAGTCTGTTGTCCAGGTGACTTTTTTGTGTTAAACCTTCCATAACAGTTATCCTTGAATTTCCTATAGTTGTGATTAGGGATTGAATAACAGGGTAATGCCTCTATTCTCCGAGAAGTGAATCTTGATAAACCGTGTAGTTGGACTGCTTTGTTCAAGAATGATGATGATAGAGAATGTGGATTGATAATAATATACCGGACTGGAGATATTGAAATCCGGCAAGTCCTATCTGTTTCTGGTTACTAATATTTACTTATGCACTGCCTTATTCTATGAATTGTTACTAAAGTCGTGTTGATGTTTTTAAACCTTTTCCTAATTCTTTGCTATGAAGTATTTATTGTAATTTTTTCATTTTATGTTTCTAGTATATATTTTTTCTAGTCAATATTCTATCTCTGGTTTCTACCTCTTGATTCATAGTCACTATTCATTTTAGATTAATAACTTAGATAACTCTTGTCAAGTGTTAATTTACGAGGCATCATTTTAGATAAATTTTTAATGTATTTGGTCATGATGGTACCTCTAGCAGATCTTTGCCGGACCTTAAAGTGCTTGGAGACACATCACTAATGTCGTTACTTAGATGGAACTTCGAAACAAATATGTTTAAGACGTTGAGTTCTCCCGGTAAAGGGATTATTTCACTGGTTTGTAGTTTTCTACTTCTCACTTCAGATTTGATCTCAGCATGTTTATATATTTTTTTTATATTCCCTAGTTCTCGTTTACTTGGAAATATAGTTTGCTAACTGGCACATTGGATTCCTGGCCTTGCAGGTCAATGGGTGTGAATTTGCTATTTTGTCATTGTTCTCTGGAGATGACTTTTGGTATCTCTCTCTCTCTCTCTCTCCCTCTCTCTCTCTCTCATGCATTCACCTTTATAAACATTAGTGTTCGAACTTTCTATGTTAGGATTCCAGAGGCATTGCCTTGTCTTCATGATAAAGTCCTTGCAGCTGCAGCAAATGCAGCTCCAAATGCAGCTCCTTGTCTGTCTCAAAATCAGGAGAGTAAAAAGGTTGTATGATATATAAGCCCCTTGCTATTCTCTGTTTCTGGTCAGCTATCTAATCTGTTTTCTTTTTTTGCTAGACTACTGTCAACAGTATGGTATCTGGCATCTTCAAGGGGTTTAAAGGGGGGAAAGGAGAGCGAGTTATTGACTCTACTGAAACGCGGGAAAATCTTATTGCACATCTTGAGAGCATATTTTCCAGGTTTCCTTTCTCAGATCCTCTTACAAGTGTCTGCGATGACGAAGGACACTTGGAACTAAATATAGGTATTTGATTCCACTTTTTTTATCGCCCACACCATCCTAAAAGCTGAATTAAAATCAAATGATTTAACATGCTGACAATTCTTATACCTGTTTTTATTAATGGGATACAGATAATATTCAGATTGATGAACCCATTTCCGCAGCAGCATCATCTCAACAGAGCAATAATAGCGGACAAGGTATTTCGGGCATTTTTGAAATCCCTGGTTTATATTTAATTACTATATCCTATGAAAAAATGCTACATCTGCTGTCGGCTGATTCAGAAAATGAAAAGAAAAGAGAAAAGCTATTTGAAGGCGGGTCAACTGATACAAAACCAAGACTAAGAACACGCGAAGAAATTATTGCCAAGTATAGAAACAAAGGGGTTAGTTTGATTTGATAAACTTTTTAAATACAAATCAAATATCTACTTTATTCAAATTGCTCCAATTATACTTGTAGGAGGCCATCTCTGCAGCAGCACAAGCAAGAAACAAGCTCGTTGAGCGTGGGGAGAAACTTGAGGTAGGTCAACTAAACATATGGAGTATTGCCGTAATAAATACTCATCCAATTGACATTATCTGTTAGGTTCTTGTTTTCATAAATATTTTCTGATTTTCCACTGGCATTTTAGACATGTAGTTCTAGTGCTCGTTTCGTCTGTAATCTTTTGGCTTATGTGGAATATTTTATATTGAACACTGATCTATTTTTATTTCATTAAAACAGTGCAACTATTTTTTTATTTTCGGCTGAAAGGAAGTTAAATGACCCTGCAACCATCATATTCACTATCAGGAAGGGGATCATTTTATTTTTTGAAAAATTTAAGTCTTAAATACAAACGTTTAGATATGCATTTAGCTCTCAGCTAACTGGAGAGAGAATATAATGCTTCGTTTGCGGTTATCATTTTTATTTTAAAAAGAATGTTATGCTTTGCATCAATTGGCATTGTTAACGGCAGTGTTTTTATGTTACCAGAAACTAAGTGAACGAACTGCAGAGCTTCAGAGTGGGGCAGAAAACTTTGCATCAATGGCAAAAGAGCTTGCCAAGTCCATGGAGAAGCGCAAATGGTGGAACTTCTAAGTTCTAAGCCACCCCCATAGCATCTAGCCATCGACCTGCTGCTGCTTTATATTCCTTCAAGTAGACCGACCACCAAGTTTTTCCATATTCATTTCCTTTGTCAAAATGTGATGAACTTATACGCCACTCTTGTCGCTCCGTAATGCATATGGCCATCTCATTATACCTTGTGGTTCAAGGTGGACAAGCTCATGAATGTTATGAGTTGTTACATTTTGGCATTTTGGGGACAATATCATCATGTAAGTAATTCCCATAATATATAGACACTGGCTGTGATTGATGGCTTCAGGTAACACTAGGGTTTACCTAATGAAAGGTAAACATCAAGAAACATTTTATTGTATTTTATTTATATAAGTAAACATGACTAAAGTCAAAATGAGTACATGCGTTACCGCGTAATCCTTTCGTTCCAATTTAAATTGTCTATTGTTGTTTACAAGATTTGACTTAAGTTATTTTCAACTTGATTTATTTGAAAACTGGTATGAAATTGAAAGATAAAATTTATGTATTTAAAAACTACATAAAAAATTCTATAAAACTATTATTTTCTCAAATGTGTAACGAAAATGGATAAAGGATGTAATAAAAGTTTAACTTTATAAATGTACATAAATAGACCATTCAAATTGGGACATAGACCATTCAAATTGGGACTGAAGAAAAATAGTTTTACTTTTAACTTGGGAATGACAAAAGTCACTTGAAGGCTTACATTGACGAAAGCAAGAAAACAACTCAAAGCTTCATCTCAGAGAAGTAATATGTCAATCAAAACATTAGAGAAATTTTAAGCTCTAATTTTTTGTTTGGAAGTACAGATAATTGTCCATGACTAGTCATTTAATTACTTGTCATATTCCCACAAAATTACTTGTCAACTCCATGCATAATTATAATGTGGTACTTGAATTTTAGTACATAGCTAGGATGGGAATTGTCTATGACTAGTCATTTAATGCCTCCACATTCATAAAATTTTATCCTTATATCAAGTGACTGAAATTATATTTCAATTTATTTCTTTTCAACTAATTGTACAGTCATTGCTAAAGGGTCCTCTGGAATAGGTTGTCATCCTTTTTGAATTGCTTCTCCATTCAACTATTCAACGTGGTGCAAGTTGGATGATGGTCATTTTTTGTACACATCCTTTTGGAAAAGATTCCAATTTTTTTTGTTTCAAAATAAGGTTCGATTTTTTTTAACAAGTGTTTATATGGCTTAAATCATATTTCTCTATCTTATGCATGGCTCCCACCCAATAAATTACGGAGTATATCTTCATTAGTAACTGTGTACAATAAAATGTAAAACTTTAATTTGAGACAAAAGAAGTACTTCATCCACTGCCAAAAACCTTGCTTGGCTTTTGCATTGTTTAAAAAATTGTTGAAACATAAAAAAGACCAGTGAAAATATTACTTGTAGAACTTAGAAATCATCACAATTCTTGTGATATTGACACCAAACCTCCTTCAGAGTTCCATTGGTAAACTTGATGGTTCCTCCCCCCGTGCAAATTGTCATCAGTTCATCCTATGGCACTAAGTTCAATGAGAAAGAAATCATGTGATTCACATATTCACAACTTTAAAAGAAAATGAAGTTAAAAATATATTTTTTACGCCCAAAGAGTAAAAGTGAAATTTTTTTTTTTTGATATGGAAAAAATATATCTCGATTTAATGAGTCAAAAAACATTCGGGTCCAAAATAGAGAATAAAAAACCCAGAGCAAATTAGAAAAACAGATTTGATTTCCTCTCCAGAGTCTCCCAATGGCATGTTTGGCAGTATTACCAGTGTGTGGCCTGAGGCCACTCCCAAGAATCTTCCCAAAATCCAGGTATGATTCAGTTTCTTTCAGTCCTAGCAGCTTACCCGAACTGAGAATTTCAAGAACAGCTCTGGGTAGATGCTCAATTTCATTGTCAGTGACCAGAGAGAGGACCTGGGCATTGAGGGCTTCTTTTGTGATGAGTCAAGAGGTAGAAGATGAAGTTTCATGCTTTGATCCCGGTGCTTCCCCGCAGTTCAAGCTGTCTGGAATTAGGGCACCAATTCCCAAGCATTGCTGGGTTAAGGACCCTTGGAAGTCAATGGGCTATGTGGTTAGGGATGCTATGGCTGTGTTTGGATTGGCAGCTGTGGCTGTTTATGCCAACAGCTGGTTTGTTTGGCCTATTTGCTGTTTGCTCAAGGCACCATTTTCTGGGCTCTTTTTGTTCTTGGCCATGACTGGTAGAGTTGTATTTCACTTCTTCTTTTCCTTTTCTTGTTTTCTGGTTCCTTTTTCTGTTTGTCCTTGGCCATGACTGATAGAGTTATATTTGAAATATGCAGTGGCCATGGAGGCTTTTCTAATCACCCTAAGCTCAACTCTGTAGTTGGGCATCTCCTTCATTCTTCAATTATTGTCCCTTACCACGGATGGTTTGTTTCTTTTCATTTATTTATTTTCAATCAAGATTATATATTTTCTGTACTTAAAACATTGATAAGAGCCAATATGGTATTGCTGCAGGAGGATTAGCCATAGGACTCATCATCAAAACCATGGTCATGTTGAGAATGGTGAATCTTGGCACCCTGTAAGAATTGAACTTTCTGCCAAATCCCTGGTTTGATTTCTAATATTTTAGCTGTTCATTCGATCCAGTTTCTTTCTTTCTTTTTTTACCAAAAATAAATCAAATGGTTCATCTTGGAGTAACATTACTATTTTTTGTTCATTTAATCCAGATAAATGAAAATCTTTACAGTAGTCTGGATGATGTTACCCCTGCTTGCATACCCTATTTATCTGGTAAAGTTTTTATTTAATTTTTAATATAAAAAATTATCTGCTCCATTTATTAGAACTTACAATTATTTTTTATTAATAATAATAATACTTGATAAATTGCAGTGGGGTAGAAGCCCAGGTAAAATAGGATCTCATTTTGATCCAAACAGTGAATTTATTCCAAATGAGAAGGAAGATGTGATTAACTCAACAATGAGTTGGGCTGCAATGGTGGCTGTTCTTGCTGCTTGATCCTTTGACATGGGACCTCTCCAAGTGCTCAAACTCTATGGAATTCCCTATTTGGTTTGTTCACTTCAGCCCCTCCCTTTCTTGTCCCTTTTTGCCAAAGGCAATTTACTCTCCTTTTCCACCCTATTTTTTACTCTCCATTAATTGAGTTATAGTTTTTTTATTTGTTTTTGGAGTTTGTAGGTTTTTGTAATGTGGCTGGATTTTGTTACCTATTTGCACCACCATGGCCATGAAGAAAAACTTCCTTGGTATCGTAGCGAGGTAAAGATTGATTTGTCAAATTTCGCCATCCTAAATGTAGGGAAAGTTAGGTTGTGTTTGGTTAGAGGAAGGGGGAGGTTTTAATGTTACCTTGTTTCGTTTGTTGGAAGGGAGGGGATGATAAATTTTTAACTTGAGGCGTGTTTGGTTGGAGCTGATTGGAGAGAGAAAAAGGTCATTTTTTTAAACCAGATTAGGAAAGGCAATGTTCTGCTCACTTCCAACCAAACACGCCTTCAACGAACGAATTTGAATCACTAGGAATAAGTTTTCCTATGATGTACCAAAACTATAGAAAATGGTGAGATTTTTAAGGATTTTATAAATGCAATCCAAGCAGGAATGGAGTTACCTTAGGGGTGGTCTTACAATACTTGACCATGATTACGGAGTGATTAACAGCATCCACCATGACATTGGGACTCATGTCATAATACACCACCTCTTTCCTCAAATATGCCATTATCATTTAACAGAAGCTGTAAGTCTACTAATCCAATATCTGATCCCTCGGCTCTATTATAACGCTGTTAGAGCTGATGATTGGTATTGACCATCATCTTGTGTTATAGACTGAAGCAGCAAAACCTGTGCTTGGGAAGTATTACAGAGAGCCAAAGAGATCGTTATGGCCACACCCATTTCATCTGGTGCGGGACCTGATCAGAAGCTTGAAGACAGACCATTTTGTAAGTGATGCTGGGGATGTCGTGTATTATCAATCTGATCATTGGCTTTCTGGATCTCCAAAGAAAAAACATTGAGCTTTCTTCTAAGCAAAAGGATGTACTCCCTGTCCCCAAAAAAACGTTCTTGTTTGTTTTTTTTAGAGTTTATGAAAAAATGAAATTGTACCATGAAAGTTTTTGCAGAGAAAGAAACACATGAAAATTTGGAACAAGAAAACAGGCAGTTTGTTTAGGAACAATGACTGAAAGGGTCTTAAAGATCACGATTGGTTTGATTCAGTGGTATAAACTTTGAAAACCAACTGATGTGACCAAGACAAATTAAAACCGACAATGACCAAATGCTCAATGTATTTGTATTTGGCAATTTTCGAAACCAAACAGATAAAATCCGATAACGATCTAAACCAAACAACCATTGGACACTACTTTATCACCTTAAACGTTGAACTGCATTCATGAAGGAAGCTATCTGCAACTTATCTTTTTGGATGCCATCTGGAGCACAGATTCCGCTGCTGACATCAACTCCCTGTGGGTTGAGCGTACAGAGTGCTTCACATACATTTCCGGGGTTAATCCCTCCCGCCAAAAGCCACCCGCATTTACTTCGGATTTCAGGCAGCTTAAAGCCTGCCCAATTAAATCCTTTGCCACTGCAAGTTTTTTTTACATTTTTAAAAAGCGAAGACAAAACATGTAAAATTCACCAAACAGTGCAGTAAACTTTTGTGAATAGAAGGATATATTGTGATACCTTCCGCCTCTGGCACTATCAACTAGAACCCAATCAACCAAAGAGGAATCTTCATCGGAGATAGTGTTCAAAAGTTCTCCAGCTTCATTCACGTGAAGAACGTATATAACTTTCTTTTCCTTCACCAGAATAGGAAAAGCAACTCGGGAGCCGTTACCATGTAGCTGCAACATTAATCTTTACAAGTGATGGGATGAAGAACAACTAAGGGTCTGTTTATGAATTGCAATAGAAGGAAAATAGATAGATAATTCAAAACCAGGACTTAATTGCCTGAACCAATTCAAGGTCTGCAGCATCAGCAACTTTCAGTATGGTTTCAGCATCATCATCTACAAAGACCCCAACAGGCTTTGCTCCATATTCCCGAGCAACTTTAGAAATTTCCTTTGCAGCAGCGAGTGAAACAGAACGCTTTGAATAAGGCCATATAATCATGCCTATAAAATCTGCACCAGCTTCTGCTGCCAAAGCAGCATCTCTGGCTGATGTGATTCCACACATTTTGACCAAGTGTCTTCTTTCTTGTTGCCCCTTGTGTGCACATGATACTTTTGTTGGCTGCTTCTTCAATACACATATTCTGCTTCTTCTGAATGTTTTAATGCTAATAGAGTATGTTTCTCTACTTGATAGATCTGCATAGTGAATATACCCTTTGATATATAAAAGAACAATCAAAACATTTTGAGCCAATAAATAAAAGCTACTAGTAATTTGCAGACACATTCGGACATTTATTGATCGACAAGTTCTAGATACACTCCGAAACTATGCTCTCTAGAATTTTCACCCGCCGATTTCTCCTTATCACCCATTACGCTATATGTTTGGAGCCCAGAAAGTGATAGGGAAAGGAAAACCTCCTCCAAGATTGCTGTTTTTTTTCTTTCGAAACTACGAAGGAAAATTTGATCGGAACTTTTTAAAATTTCACACGTTTATATTTATTAGTCATTCTTTAACAGAGAAATATAAAATAAAATGACTTTGAACAAATATCTAAAAATGATTTTGGGCTTGCTGTTTACACTTTAATTTTAAGTGGAGTTTCGAGTGCGGATTGGACACTCGAACCTAGAATCTGGAAACTGAAGTTTGGTGACTCGAGTTGAAGTCTAAAAACTTAAATCGGGATACTGTTCTAATTTTAACTAAATTCTAGAGTCTGCGGCATGGAACCTAGAGTGTGGATAACTGAAATTAAAAATTAAATAGAATAGGGCGTTAATGATTATGATCCAAGTTCTAAATGGACCCTTAATAAGGAGAACAAAATAGATCTACTTAGTCTTCTCATGAGATCACACAACTTGTTCTTGCAAAAACGATATTGGCATATAAACAAGACATCGGGATTTGTATTCTGAAAATTCTTAATTACCTCTCGGGAGCAAGTTTTTAGTGTCGGGTTTGACCTGGATCCCTCTACTCTGCCCTGAAAAATAAATTCAGCATCTTTGTAGGCAATGCATTTGCAAGTAATAGGAAGCAGAAAGTGTTTCAGCAATGGAAATTTGACAAACAACTATCATGCATTCTAGCACATTCATTTGTGCCACTGTAAATGTACACTTAAATGCAATGAGAAAGAAGTGGAAAGAATATACCAACCACAAATACAGTTCATCTCCTCCTTCCCTGCTGTTTGAAACTCTTCCCTTTCACAGTCTATTCTTCTTGTAAACGGAAAAGAACATAATTTGTAATGTGACTGCTAACACTATTATCATAAAGTTCAAAAAAAGTTTAATATGCCTAATGATTTCTTAAATCAACTCTTTTAAACAATGTAAAAGTGCGGGTCATTAAATCAATGGCAAAATAATTTCTGATTGTTATAAAACTTTTTTTTCAGAATGACAACTTGATTCTACATCACAACATTTACACGCTAGTGAGTGATTTGTTAGTGGATTTTCTAGTTAAAAAGGGGGGAGAATTGAAACGGAAGATCATTATTTTATAAAATTTACCTAGAGGCCGAAAGGCGGAGGAAGGAGGCTGGAGGGGTGGCGGATGGAGGCAGTTCCGTCGCCACGCCGCTAGAGCGGTCCGTTCCTTGACCGCAGTTCTCAGTTTTCTTTAATGTTTCTTGTTTTTCTTCGATCGACTTCAACAAATCTTTCACGGTCTGAGCTTGATTTTAGTTGATTTGGGGTTGGACCCTCACCACACAAAACCAAACCAAATCATACCACACCAAACCGAATAAATCAAACTTGTATTTAGTTTGATGTATACGAAAAAAGGATTATGCAAAAAAAATCATAGAAATATATAAACAAATGTTAATAAATGATCAATCAATTAAAGTTTTTTTTTGCTACTAAATGTTTTTACCATATTATAAACTTAAAAATTGATACGAATATTTTACATACTTACACGAAAAACTTTGATGTTATAATGAAAATGAAATTACTATACCAAAAATGCAAATAATCCATTTGGTACTTACGTACGAAAGTTTTGGCAGTATTTGATATCTCCTATATATTTTTCGGACACTCGACCCTCTCAGTTGAAGGGTGTGCGTTTAATTTATTAAATTCTCTTGTTAAATTATTTGATTCATTGTCAATTTAGTTCATATTACTACCTCCGTCCCGCTATATTCGTCCACTTTTGACTTTTGGAACTGTTCATCTAAGCACTTTGACTTATCAAATTTTCTCAATGTGTAAGCCTAAATATAGTCATGTGTAATCTTGTTTGATTTGTCTTAACATATAGATTATTAATATATAATTTCTATAATTTTTTAATATACAAATTGTAAGATAAAATAGATTAAAGAAGTGTATTGAATGGTGTGCAAAAATGAAAGTGGACAAATATAGTGAGACGGAGGGAGTATATGGTAACAATGTAAGTGTGTAACTTGTGATTGGAATGATTTAAGGCCAGAATTTTTAACTTTTACATCAGTTGTTTACAGCGCAAGTCACGAGGAATCGATGACCCTGGACGAGACAAAAAAAATGAGTCTTGTCCTAACAAATTAAGTTTTATAAACTATTTTTTAAAACAATAATTAATATTATAGTCACACACATAACAAAATTATAATAATATAATTAAATATACGTTAAAAAATTATGTATAGCTATGAAAGCTTGAAAACCCCCAAAGAAGGAATTGAAGGCAATAATATAATGGACGGCAGCAAACCAAAAGCATTCATTCACTCATTCATTATCCTTCATTGATAATAATAATAATAATAATAATAATAATAATAATAATAATAATAATAATAATAATAATAACAATAATAATAATAATAATAATGGCCAAACTCCAAAGTATATCATATATTCTACGAATGGAACCCCACACGTATTGGCAAAGTTGACACACACGAAAGTGATTGCCACTTGACACCATTTGTTGCATCTCTCAAAATTACAATAATCTTAGTTTACTTTTAAATTATGAATAAATATATTCAGTTATAATATAATTTCAATATATTTAGTTTTATTTTTAAACGTAATTTAATATATCAAATTTTATATTTTCTCCGTCTCAAAAAACATGAGAGTTTTGGTTTTGAAGATGGATTTAAGGAGAGTGTATTTTGATATTGAATTTCAAAAAATGTCCTATGATGTGATGGGTAAAAGTATGATTTGATGAATATATTATTAGTAAAAAGGTATGATGTGATAGATAGGATATGAAAAAATAAGAGATAAAAGTGACTTTTTAATAGAAACGGGAAGTGTTTTTTGGGACGAATGAAAAAAAAAAGAAAGGTTTTCAGGATTTATAATGAAAGAAACCTCTAAAATGTAATTTTAGGAGGAATGAGAGTCTACCCCACATTATAAATGTTCATCTCCCTCCTCTGCCCTCCGTGGCCACCCACCACTTCTTAACTCTCTTTTCTTTACAAATCGCCACTTTGGAGCTGAGTCAATAGTCAATACATTGTGCACTCTCTCTTAGGCTCTTTTCCGTAGGTCTGATCCGATTAAATCTAATCTGAATTTTGGAAGTTCTTATCTGATTGGATCTGATCTGATCTGATTGGATCTGATCAGATCTGATTGTATCTGATCAGATCTGATTGGATCTGATCTGATTGGATCTGATCAGATCTGATTGTATCTCATCTGATCTGATTGTATCTGATCTGATCTGATTGGATCTAATCTGATTAGATTTGATCTGATTATATCTTATCTGGTGTAAATGAATTTAAAATTGGTTAAAATTAAACTTATAATTATTACAAGAAATAATATTAATAATTTTAAAGTATTAAAATCCATTTATAAATAGAAAAACGTAAAATAAAAATATCAATAACAATAACTAATTATTAATATATTATTAAAAATTGCTTTAAAATATAAAATATCTTTTGAATATCACTATTTTTGATCTCTGTTAAAACACAATAACCAAATTCTCTTTATATAGTAAATAGAATGTATTTTTACCTGATATAAAAATAACCAAATGTTAGAAAAAAATGATGACCCTCCACAAAACTATAACATTGTTTATGCATTTTGCATACTAATATTTCATGTTACAAATTACAAATCACATAAAATTTTAGACACTAATAATAATAATAATAATAATAATAATAATTTTTATTGTATTTTGTTCTGGTCTGATCTGATCTGATCTGATCTGATTGGATCTGATCTGATCTGATTGGGTCTGATCTGATCTGATTGGGCCTGATCTGATTGGATCTGATCTGATCTGATTGGATCTGATCTGATTTTAATAAGAATAAGTAATAAGCAAAAAAAATAAGTCCTACGGAACGGGCCCTTAATTGCATAATTTTAACTACTCCCCCTAATCTGAAAATTCTTTTTTGTTTTGATTTTATTACTTAAATAATAATGTTTTTTTATTATAAATTAGACATAAATTAAATAAATAAATATTTTAAATTTTTATATATCAAAACAGTATCTTTAGATAAACCCAAATATATAAAATTTATATTATAATTCGATATACTTTTCTCACAATTTATGATCAAAGTGTGTCATTATTTGATTTAAAAAAAAGTCAAAACACAAAGCATTTTTAGGAACGGAACTATGGAAGGAGTAATTTTACTCTATTTTAATGTATCATATTCTCCCCTTCTGAAGTTTGCAATTGCAAAATTTAGAAAAAGTGTTATAATTAAAAAAATGAGATGATTAATTCAGAACGAAAGGAGGAATTAGTAGAGTATTAACTATTTCTCCATACAAGTGAGAATAAATTAATGGTTTGGGAACATGGATTTGGATTTCAAATCCGGATTTGGCTCAAATCCCATCTTTGGGAAACTTAAAAAATTTGAATTTGGATTTAAGTCAAATTTTTTCTCATTCAAAACAAAGCTTAATTTGAAATTCATGCTTCTCTTATTATTTGAATTTCAAGATTATAAATTTTGGAATTGAAATGAATGAATTGAAATAAAATGTTAGTTGCCAAACACTACCTAAAGAGATTTGACTTTTCAAAAAAAGATTTGAGCGATGAAATGTTGAGTTTTAAGACTGGGCCAAAACTTCAAATTTCAAAATGTAGTACTCCGTAAATAAAATGCCAAGAAACTGACCTATTCTAGTAAAATATTACTTCCTGCCTCCTAAAAAGTCTTTCTTGTTTCATTTTTTGCGCATCCCATAAAACACTTCTACCGACATCTAAAATGCCTAAAATTTACAACATTTCTTCTTTATTGTGGGTAGAAGTTATTTTGAAAGTTTTTTGGCATTCAAGGCGGTATAGAAGTATTTTTTGGGATGCGTAAAAAATGAAACAAGAAAGACTTTTTGGGACGGAGGGAATACATACTTTCACTATTCAAAAATCGTGAGAATTTATTTATTTTTTTTATTAATTATTTGATGGAAAAAATTATTATCAAAATTCATGTTTTGTAGAATTTTAGATATAATTTTATATACCTATCTTTAAATAACATAAATTGAAAAAAGAAAGGTGGATTCCTTACTACTCCGTATTACTTTGCAACGTAACATTTAATTATTCCAATAAAGATTGAAAGAAATGCTACAATAAATAATACGTAACGAAATAACTCTATGCTTTTTTATCTTGTTTCCATCAATTCTCAATATATCCAACAATGGGGTTGTTGTGTTGGGGGGAACTACGTACCTGCTAATCCAACATCTTTAAAAAAAAAAAAAAGTACTTATACTAGTAGTAATATTTATTCTTCATCATCAGTAACTTATACTCCGTAATAATAATAATAATAATAAAAATATAAAAGAATAATTATATTTTTAATTATCACCCCGTCCACGTACGGATGAGATGAAATAATGCATTATTAATTGCCAATAAGACCTTAATTAATTACGCCACCGCCTGCTCTTGCTCTATGTACATTTGATCCATCCAAGACGGCACATCCTTAACCAGTGAATTCACCCAAGACACGTCCGGCTCGTTCCCCCGCCGTGCGGCTGGCACCCGCTTCGGAGAACCGCTCCCGTTCCGAACCGCAAACGAAGCGGACTTGGTCAGCTTGTTCGTCACGTCGCTGAACCCCCACTCCGGTTTCCCGTCCGGGGAACCCCAGTCCGACGACGACAGGTTGGACGACATCGTCGATGAGGTCATCAACGGCAGAGAGTTGGTCGCCCGTTGGTGGGCGGCGCCGACCCTACCGCGGTCGATGAAACTCTGGCTGCGCTGCTTCCCGAAGGAGGCGGACCGCGAGTTCATGACCGCTGCGGCCACCGCCGCTGAGGAGTCGTACCCGAACGCGTGGGCCCGGCTCGAGGTGTACCCCCCGCCGCCCGTCGCGCGATGCTGTTGTTGGAGGCGCATTTGAAGCCCCGTCGGGGATTGTAACGGCGAGAGACCCAGCGGAGAATCTAGAGACCCGAACAGGTCATCTAGATTCGCCGGCTTCAAGTTGTTCCAACGAGACGGGGACGCGAGACCCACCATTTCCTCCATCAACTGCGGGTCGAAATCCCGCGCGTTCAGTGTCGTCTTCAGCCTGCTGCCAGAAAACTGTAGCGCGGGCGGGGCAAAGTTGTTCTGCCACGTTGCCCCGCTCCCACTCATCGGGGACGAGCAGTTAACCATGGGGGACATTGGCGAGCCCATGTCGACCGAGCAGCTGACTGAAGGCGACCTCGGGGAAGGAAGAGCAGAACCGGTCGAGGCGTACAACGGCCGTAACTCCTCCGGTTTATGAGCAAAGAAGCACACTTTCCTCAAGCAACCCGTCTCGTCCTTGCAAAGACGGGTTTTATATTGGGCCGGATGGAGCCAGGACTCGAACACGCCGTGCGCGAACTCGCAACTGTCTCCCTTCCCGCAACTTCCCTTCTTGAACTCGGGGCACGGCACGCAGGTGTACGTGTACTTGGTCGGGTCCCGCCTCCGTGCGTTCTCGCCGGGATGGACAAACGGGCATTCAGTCCAATCGTGCGAATACGCCCTCGAGCACGGCTTCACCTTGAAACTATACATCCGGAACTCATCGCTCCCGTATATCCCCGTGTTTATATCCGGCAACGACGTGTCCACCGGATATTCTTTCCTCTCACACGGCACGACACCCGCGAGTTTCACGCCATCGTCTTCCTCGACCACACTCCCGTTCAACAAGAACGACAGTTCTCTCCTCCTTGAATTGGCTGACATTTTGTGACACGAGCCAATATAATCCCCGGGCTTGTTTCCGCTGGCATCGAGAGCGTTGACCGCTGCAGACGCCGAGAGGAGGAGCTTGACGGCCTCCACGGAGAGCTCCGATCCACCTGCGACTGCGCAGTGGAGAGGGGTTACCCCATCAGAGCCACACGCGGCGTTGACGTCCACCTTCCCAGTTCCAAGAATATACTTCAAAACCTTAACACTGCCAAACATGGCGGAAATTGCAAGAGGGGTTCTCTCTTCCAACCCCATCTTCCTCTTGGAAGAGGAGCCGATTCTCCTTCCATACCAGAAGCTCAGCTCATTCACATCAAAACCCTTCTCTTCCACTTCGACGGCAAAACCAGAAACATCATCCGCGGCGGATAGCTCCAGCAATTTCGAGCAATTCTTGCTCGAACCCCCATTTTTCTTTTCCATATCAGGCCCAACAGAGCAAAGATTTCTCTTCTCCAAACCACTGCACATCAAATCCTGCAAGAAGTTGACAAGATCCAAAATCGTAAAAATCCAATCTTTCACATTCACGCGCAAATCAAACAAATCCAAGCAAACACTGAGACCTGATTGAATTTATTTTTACCCCAAACTGAAATAGTTCAAGAAACCAACATATATATATATATATATATATATATATATATATATATATATATATATATATATATATATATATATATATATATATATATGGATGCCCCATCAATAAAAACCCAATCTTTCAGGTTTATCCACTCACCCAAACAAGTAAAAGCACATAAAAGGAACAAATCGGGCACAAAGAACAGGTAAAAGAAAGCCTTTACAGTAAAAATCTAGTCTTTTTCCCTTAACATACCTTGAGGTAATGAGATGAGTGAGGCTTCTGGCAAATTAAAGGAACTAAAGAAGTCAAAAAAAAAAGAGTAGATTCACTTGGATATGAACGAGAGAATTGGAGGGGTGGGTGTTTTATAAGGTGTGGAGGGGAAAGGGGGAGGAAGGTGTGACTTTTCTTCTCGCTACTTTCTCCTTCGTCTTTGATATCGCGTTGGTCAAAAGTCAAAGATGGCAATGGGGTGGGTCCCGCCTCACACCTCTTTTGTGTCTTACTGGTTCCTGCTCGAATCCGAAATGCAAGTGAGAAATGTGACATGCGAATGAAATTGGAATGCGAGTGAAATGCAAATGCAGGAGTGAGGAGGCGGCGGCGGCTGCCGAGGAGCTAAGAAAGGGATTAGTGGGAGGCGGGTCCCAAACTCCCTTTTATGAGTCATTGGCTCCGCCGTCGCTATCCAACCGGCCGGCCTAACGCCTCTTTCCGTTCGTTTTTTGAGAGAAATTCCCACTTTTGTTTTCTACCATTAGTACTCACTTCCTCCTGAAATGTTCTTCTCATTTACTATTTATACGGTCAAACTTTAATCACTTTCTTTACGTATTTTCATTAGGTATTTGATAAAATAATATAGTCTTGTCACTACTTGTTTGTAGAACTTTTGATGTAATTTTTAAATATATAAATTTTATTTTTTAATTTTACACCTACAATCAAATAAATTAAATTAAAAATAAAGTCGGTCAAACTTCGTAAACAGAACCGGGAAGATCATTATAGGACGGATAGAGTAACTTAGAAAAATATATCTTTTTAAAAAAATAAAAGCGGAGTACTTTTTGCACAAAGATTGAAAATCATTTCTTTATTTATTTACATTAATTTACTTACTTGTTTAAAATCATACTCCCTCCATCCTATAATGATCTTCCAGTGCACTATTCCAATTTCACGAGAATTTATATTTATTTGTGTTTTTTCATGGCCTATATGATAAAATAAAATATTCTTGTCACCACTTGTTTTGTTGAACTTTTGGTGTAGTTTTTAAATATGTATGTTTTATTTTTTATTTCTATACCAATATTTAAATAAAATAGATTGAAAAAACTTGGGATTTTTCTTCGTTTTGCGAACCGGGAAGATCATTATAGGACGGAGGGAGTATATTTTTTATTNATTCCAATTTCACGAGAATTTATATTTATTTGTGTTTTTTCATGGCCTATATGATAAAATAAAATATTCTTGTCACCACTTGTTTTGTTGAACTTTTGGTGTAGTTTTTAAATATGTATGTTTTATTTTTTATTTCTATACCAATATTTAAATAAAATAGATTGAAAAAACTTGGGATTTTTCTTCGTTTTGCGAACCGGGAAGATCATTATAGGACGGAGGGAGTATATTTTTTATTTATGTATTTCATATTAGTTACTTAATTATTTATTTTATTATTATTTTATTCATTTATTACTTCCTCTGTGAGGAAAAAATGTTTCCAAATGCTTTTTTTTCGAGTAACATCTTTCCATTATTCCTTAATTGCCTTTTTAACACTGGAAATACTCAATTACTCTCATTTTATTTATTTACTAGTATTTCTACTCGTGCCACGCATGAGTTCGGACGAATATCTTGTCGATTCTAAATTTTTTCAATGTAATATTTTTTTCGGAATAAAGAAAATATACTTCATACATGATTTATAATAACACATAAAAAAGGCAAAGTAAAAATAATAATATTTGAAGAATTGAATTTACACACAACAAAGTTTGTTTTAATACCAAACTTTTTGAAATACTTCAGGGTATACAACATTTTTGGTATGGCTGCAAATGTAACACCCTAATCCGTCTAGGTCTGCAGCCCCTTTCGGACTAAAGTATAAACTTGGTATTCGTAGACATTCAAAATATTTCAAACATTTGAAACTCTATTTCATAATAAATAATTCAAAATAGTAACGGAGTAATTTAATATTGCGAAAGCTTAATAAAACATAATACAAACATAATTAATTTATGTCTTTTCAAACAATAATCCAAATCCAAAACACACATCCGTTCGACCTTCTCGTCTCATCTGGCTCTAGGAAATCATTGATTCATTCTTTTTGTTTACCTGCATGTAGCAAATAAAACATACTACACGTTCAGCGTTTAAGCTGAGTAAGCATATCTTTTAAATTTGAGTTCTGTCTTAAAGTCTTTTAAATTATCATTAAATAAATTGTGGATCTAACTTTCAAAACAGATTAATCCAACTTATTTCACCCCTTTCATATCATTTCACCAAATGTATAAACTTATGGAAATGTATAAACAAATGTACAGTACAAATTTAATTTCGAATATAATATTAAATATGTGACAAAGATCTCACTCATATACTCCGTATGTCACCATGTCCATGGAAACCTCTACGATTATGCTATGTGTACACCAAGATTTGTACCCTAATTTGTACCCCACAGTTTTGCACCAGTATTTTGTGTTGGTGTAAAACTAATTTTTGTTAAACGCACCAACATTTGTGTCCGTGTAAATTTTTATTAACACACCACCACTTGTGTCGGTGTAAACCATCGAAATGTTTGTGCAAACCTGTGGTGTACAAATGGGGCATATTTTTTGGTGTAAGTGTAGCATAGTCCAAACCTCTATTTAAGAACCAAACTTGAACCAAAACCCTTTTAAGAACCAAACCACAATTTGGGTGCAACGCTAGCTATGGAAGAAACCAATGCACTTGCAGTCATCTCAAAACAACAAGAAACCCCCCTTAATAAAGTCATCGAATCCTCTTCTTCACCTCCCATAATTTCCTCCTACAATGAACAAATCCGACCCCTCATGGACGCCGTCGACAAACTCCGCCTTCTCAACGTAATGAATGAGGGCATTCATCTTCCAACGATAGTCGTCCTAGGAGACCAGTCCGGTCCTCGGGCAAGTCGAGCGTGCTCGAGTCCTTGACCGGGATTAGTCTTCCCAGGGGTCAGGGCATATGCACCCCGGCCCATTAATCACGCGTCTCCAGCATGATCCTGTGCCGACCCCTGTTCTCACCCTCGAGTACTACCTCGACATGTCGGTTGAGACAGAGGAGGCACGCGTGGTTGGTGCAATCAACTCTGCAACCGAGTCGATCGTGGGGACGAGAAAAGGGATATCCCGTTCCCCGTTGACTCTCGTGGTCAAGAAGGACGACGTCCCTGACTTGACCATTATCGATCTCCCAGACATCACTCGGGAGACCAATGAGATGATAATGGAGTACATATCTCCACAAGAAACTATCATACTTAACGCGATCCCCGCGAATGTCGATTTTTCGACTTGCGAGTCCATCAAGATGTCACGAGAGGTGGATAAAACCGGGGAAAGAAAGCTAGTTGTTATCACGAAAGCGGACAAATCCCCCGAGGGGTTACGTTGATCCAAGAAGTTGCAACACATGACACAATAAGGACCGGGTTGGGTTGCGAGTTGGACAAATCCCCGGTGGGTATTTCCGTCTTAGCTCAGAAACTGACAAGAATTCAGGCAGCCAGCATTGCCAAGCAGATCAATGACAAACTGAAGTCCAACGTAGCCGAGCTGAACAAACTTCCGAACTGTTTTTCTTCCGTTCTTGAGGCTATGATTGAGTTCGAGAGGATTATGAGGTCGGCTATGGAGTCTCTGAGGAAGATCCTTGTCCGAGGGGAGTACGAGGAGTACCCAGATGCGAAAGAGATGCATCTCACTGCTAGATTTGCGGAAATGCTCAACGAGTATTCCCAAAATCTGGGAAATATATAACAGCAGTGCAATGGACACAACATGGAATTTCTCGATGGAAGAAATTGAAGTGCTTCAGGGGATTTGTGTGCAAAACTCTGTCCGCTTTTCTCAACATAATGCAGAAGAAGTTAAAGTGAAAACCATATCTGCAATTCCTGTCGAGAAAGTCTGGCATTATTACATAGAAAAGATTGTTCTTTTGGTCTTAGACGAGCATTCCAACCAGAAGAGCTGCATGCTGGGAGCTTGTTCTCGAAGAAGAAGGCAAAACTGATTAGCCGAGTAAAGGAAATGGTGGAGATGGAGAGGGTTTCCGACTACACGTGCGATCCGGAGCACGTAACAGAGTGGAACAAGTTCATGGAAAGCTCGGACCCGGCGACACGACTCATCTGGATGGCATTGGGCGGGTAGAGATGGGGAAGTTGAGGGAGCAGTACAGGCTCGGAGCAGGTGGGGGCGGGCGGGATTTGGAATGAGGACGAGAGCGGCGTCGCATTGGAGGGTTGTGCAGATCGAGGAGAATGCATGGTGGATTGTGTTGGGGATGAACGGAACAAAACACAACGGAAGTGTATAAAATCTTTTCCCCAAATTAATAATATGAACAACAAAGCACAATATACTCTAGAAATCAGCACCACCACCACAAATAAATAGCAACGGAAATAAAATAAAGAACACACGATTTACGTGGAAACCCCAAATCGGGGAGAAAACCACGGCCGCTCAACAACGGCACCCAAACTTCCACTAATCACCAAGAACCAAGTGGGTACAACAAGTTCTCCTCTCTAGTAAACACTAGAGGCATACACAATCATCAAGGAGCAACCTTGGAACAACAACAATCAACAATTCAACATAAAATGGAGTAAAAACTCCCAAAAACGCAGGTCTGAAAACGCAGCTAGAAAACAGCCTTCCGGGCATCAAAATGAGAATCTGACTGTTGGATTTGAAGAGGAGTATGTGAGGAACAACATACTAAAATTTGAGCACGATCGGACTTC